GGTTTGCTGTTGTTATTTGTTGTTGCTGTTGCTGTTGCATTTTCCTGAGGCATATGGGCCGAGACGAGAGATGACATGGACGAGATTGGTTTTTGTGTATAACAAAGCTTGATAATGGCATTCAGCAAAGCTTGTGCCGGCTAGTCGATAAGGACGATGCCGATAACGCGTATCGCAGCTATCAGCCCATCTAATCGCAGCACAGCCTAACCCTGGATCTTTTGACGTTGGTGCTAGCTCAGCTATGGAAGTTTTGGCAACAATTTAGCCAGCTGTTCGCTGGGCTGGAAGTGCCGACGGAAATAGAACCCGAGGCAAACATATCTACCAATGAACTGCTTGGATCAATAGGGATTCCTTCCGCGATGATGCTGATATGCTGCCAATGATTGTTCACCACCTGCTATTAGGCAGAACTAAGGCTCCGATCTGCCCTGACCATCAAATATCATTTGATACCTATGGATCATTGAATCCATAGGTACAGTACAGTAAGCTTAGCATCATGCCCACTATACACATACCACCTGGACGTACTCGTACTATCGTCCCCATAAGCTCTGGAATCTCGTAACCACGGTGTTGATCCCAGAGTGCCCCTCCGATTTGCCCTTGCGTCCTCCCAGAAAATCCATTCATACCAACAGCTGTCCATCAAGCCACGACCCCTTTGCCATCGACCCACCAGCCCGGCAATTTTTGCTTTAGCGCCCAAGCCACAGGCCTTCCTCGGCGTCATTGGAGCCTCATGGACGCGGCTTTAGCACAGCGGCCCCTCCAGTCTTCAGCGGTGTGCGCCCTGTAAGTGCCCGACCGCAGCGCTCCATAGCAGTTGTACCGCTAGCAGAACTCCGTGGGTTCTCGCTGGAGCTTAATTTAGTGGCACTACGCACTGCTAAACCTTGCAACGTTCGGGAGAGCAGTTAAGTTCTCCATCTTCTGGCCTTTTGGAATCTCTTGGTCTCTTCTTCTTTCAAACCTTCATCACCGCCGCTTCTAATCCTCCAGCCTCGTCACCATCCGATACTCCCGCCAACATGTTCAACTGGGCAAAGCAGCAGTAAGAATCCTCCCATCGGGCCCCCAAGGCACAAGCCCCGCCATTCTCCCTTGTCCACCCCTCCAAGGTTTTGCCAAAAATCGAATGACGATTGCTAATGGAAAGCTGCTGTCCTCTAGGCTGGCCAACGTCGCCGGCACCCAAGAGCCCATCTATGGCCCGTCTGCCATCAAGTCCGTTGCCCAAGAGGCAAAGGAGACCAACACGCCATACAGCGAGCTGACCAGGGCCGACCACACCTGGCTGGCGCTGGACAAGACATGCGTCGAAAACCAAGTCTTTTACTTCTTTGCCGAGAATGGCACCATTGCCATGGCCCAGGTCATATACAGCAACGTTGCGTATGATGCGTCCCGTTGCCATGATATCGATATCATTTTAGCTGACTTTTCTCCTGTTGAAGCGGCCTGAAAGTTACCTGCCAGTTCAACGCCAAGATCTTCTCCCGTGATCCGGCGAAGCCGCACCTGTGGTGTTCGAACCCGCTAAGCAACGTCGCCTTCAACGAGGACAAGACGTCTTTCTACGCCGATGACTGCGCTGTCGAGCTCTCCGAGGACGGTAACTCTTACACAATCAAGAGCATGAACGATGAGAGGGCGCTTGTCAACCTCAAGGTTACCAGAGCTGCCCCCGGCTTCCAAGCCGGCAAGACGGGCACTTCGCTGTATGGCACAGATCTCAAGAACCCTTGGGGCTCGATGCGCCATGCATTCTGGCCGCGCTGCTCAGCTGAGGGCACCATCACTACCAAGGAAGGCCCAGTGGACCTCAAGGGCCAGGCCATTTACATCTACGCTCTGCAGGGCATGAAGCCGCATCACGCGGCCGCAAAATGGAACTTTGCCAGCTTCCAGGGCCCTAGCCACACTGCCGTCATGATGGAGTTCACCACCCCTCCTTCTTATGGCGACACCGTCGTCAATGTCGGCGCCCTTGTCAAGGACGGCGAGATTATTGCCGTTAGCACCGAGAACAACAAGGCCACGCACAAGGCCTCTAAGAAGGACGCCACCAGCGATTGGCCCGAGCCCACTCAGGTCGAATTCTCATGGTCAGCATCCACCAAGGACGGCAAGCCTGTCACGGCTGTCATTGATGCCGCCCTTGGCGACCGCGTTGACAGGGTTGACGTCATGGCCGAGGTGCCCGGATTCGTCAAGACCATTGTAGCTGCTGCTGCTGGAACGAAGCCTTACATTTACCAGGTTTGTAATCCGATCTCGTTATTTCTATCTGCAAGGCTAACTCTCTTTTTCTCTCTAGTTCGCCCCCAAGACCACCTTGAAACTCAAGGTTGGCGATGAGGAGATTTCTGAGGAAGGTCAGCTCTTCTCAGAGGCCACCTTTATCTCCGACCTCGCTGCCTCTGGATAAACATAATAATATTGCGTTTTTGGAAAGAAATACAAATACAGGGCTTTTTGTAAAGAACTGAATGATTGATTGAGACATGTTTGGATACAACCTAATATGAAACCGGCGTTGGAGAGAGGTTATAATACTACTAATCGCTCGTTTTTTTACATCTGCTTATGCGTAATCAACCAGCACATTAATTTTGATATATTAGGGAAAACAAAGAGCTTACCTTTTATATAATGTGTACTGAAAGCAATGAGTGTACCGGGATTGTGGATGGTTGTTAATTCTTTCTAATTCATATTTATCTGCTACTGAATCTTGAGAACGCCTAGTGGAATACGATTTGCCAATGCTTAATAACTAGTAGAGAGGAATGAAGCTCAAAGACTTGGAGAGTCCTCTCGCATATATATGATATAAAGTAGGGTGTGTAAGATGACGCCGTATCTGTCTCATGTCCAGCTGTAACCCCCTAAAATAAACGATGCGTTACATTTTATATAAACCACGCCCTCCCTGCCGCCAGTCTATTCGAATCCCGTGTATATAGTCCGTCCCCTCCTCCGGTAGGTATAAAACCAACAATATCCCATTGTTATTTTCATCAAAGCCCGCCCGCCCATTGATTTTTGACTTCATTGACTCATATCAACATTACAAATTTCTCTCTCTCGCCATTTCTTTTCTTTTTCATGATTGCTTGTCTTTTTCCTCAGGCGCCTGCTTATCTTTTTCTTCAGGCGCCTTTTCCGTCTGCTGCGGTTCTTGCTCCTTGCCCAACGCGCGCTCGACCTGCCAGATGGCCCTCTCGAGCTCAATCTCTACGGCGGGCAGGTCGAGGGTTTCGGAAAAGTCCTGGATCTGCTTCTGGGTGATGAGCATCTGCTCCTTGCCGTCAGGTTCATCTGCGGGGGCCTGGCCGTCCTTTGTGTATAGCTGGTCGAGCTCTTTGGAAGGGGCGAGGTGGAGGAGGTTGTTCTGGAGGAGCCATTGGACGTGTTTGCCGCCGTTGATGGCTCGCCAGTGGGACCAGGCGCGGTAGACGAGGTAGAAGAAGGGGAGGTTGGGGACTCTGTTATGGTGTACGTCTTGTCAGCCGGGGTTGCTCTTATATCCTGTCTCTTCATCTCTTTTCTTTTCTTCTCCTCTCTTCTTTTGTCTCTGACATCTCCTTTCAACTCCTTCTTCTCTTATCTCCTCTGAATGTAAAAACTTACAGAGGAACCAGCCCCAAAGGCGCTGTTATAGGCATGCCCACAAAGCACCATATCAGCCTCTGCCGATGTAGTGCCTGCCTCTCCGTCGCTAACTTCCGTACCACCCCCTCAGCCTTGTGCTCCGGAATCGCAGCCGGCGGGAACACCAACTGAACGGCATCACGGCCCCGCAGCTCATCATCACGGCGCCGTGCCGACAGCGGTGGTACGGACTTGAGCCCCCACTCCTCAAAGGGAATGCGCCGGAAGGCATGGTTGCCGTAGTCGACAACTTTGCGTTGCCATCCTTTCTCCATCTTCTCCCACTGCGCCCACTTGCGCGCGGCGAAGGCGGCGCCGCGGTCGATGAGGCTGCCATCGTGGGAGGCGGCATTGAGTTTGTTGGCGTAGAGGAGCGTTCGCCGCGTGGATACGGGAAGCAAGTACAGCCTCATTGTGAACCTGAATAGTCGTCGTCTGAATAGAGAGGAAGAGAGAGAAAAGTGAGGGTATAATCTCTATCAGGAGCTGTAGCTGTAGCTGGGAAGAAGAAAACGGATCCCTCTCGGGATGATAGATCTGGATCAGCTAGCAGTTTAACTAAAGACGTCACAAGCGGGTCAAGACACTGCGCCGCAAGCAACCCGTCAAGCCCATTGACTCCCTCACAGACGCAGAAAAATACAAGACACCCAAAAATAAAAAAGAGAAGAAGTAAAATACCAAATGTTGAAAGAGGGGGAACCAAAGTTGGCGTTGAAAAATCAAATTGAATAGAAGAAAAAATAATCGCCGTAATTCCTTGCATCTAAAAAGCTGTATGTGATTTGCGAACTTAAAAAGCTGTGACGGAGGCTAGGCTCGATTAGGGATTTTGCTTTTTCTGAGCCAAATGTCGGCGGGCCAAACAGTGACGCACATGGGCATCATGGCGGGCTGTGAGTTTTGCTTCTTTTTTGGTAAGATGGGATGCATTGTGCGGAGTGTAGAATTGGCAAGAAACTTGGAAATCACTTATGTTCCGAGAAATGAAGTCACCTCCTACCTAATTAGGTGTCATCAGATAATCATGGTTACATGTTTCATTAGGCTCAATGTCTAGTACCACAGTTTAATACTTCACCACTCATCAAATTAATTTGACCACGATAGAAACAAGTAAGCCCAACAAGTCGCACATCTGGGAACAATTCTACTTCTTATCTGACGTCTCTGATAAGGAAAAAATAAATTCGCCCGCCGTTTATTCCTACATCCGTCTACATCTTCAAATTCAACGGTCTCGTTACCTACCCTATCATCAACTCAAAAAACTCACCAAGAAGACGTCTGTTCAGTCCTCATGTACCAAACTTGCACATGTGCAGACATCAGCGAATGGGCGGATGGTTTAGTGGTATAATTTTCCCTTAGCATAGTGCGACCTTCGAGTTGCATAACCGCCTGGGAAAGGTCCGGGGTTCGATTCCCCGTTCGTCCATAGTTGTTTTTTTTGGCTCTTTTTTTATGCTTAACAGCACTCCGTCTACTCCAATACATACATACTGCTACTATTTCCTCGCAAAACTCAACTGTGGATTTCTCTGATTTCTTCGCTTGATTAACTCTACGCAATTAGATAATTGTTACAGCAGAAACCAAAATGAGTGTCCGCTTCTTTTAATTGAACGTTTTTCTTTGCATGGACCTCTCCTGTGGCGCACCGTGGCTAATACCGTCGCAGCTCCAAGCAGGTGATACCTCTCGGGATAAAGGCCATAGTCAGAACTGGAACTTTTGAGGCATAACCACATATTGTTGCCTCCCAACTAGCGGCAACATAAGCAATAGTATCGTTTTCGAACTGAAGCTTGAAGGAGAAAAAGGTCTATTTTATGTGCCGACGCTTGAGGGTATAGGGGCCGTTTCCCCGCGAAGCCTCGACTTCCCAAGTAGGAAATCTCAGGCCAACCAACAACATGCAATCACAGAGCCGCGCCGCTCTGTTGGTCACGAGATCGTATGCCTGATAATATGTCCCTCAGGAAACCCCGCTTTGGCCAACATCCCATATTCGTTTACAGCAGAGCCTAAGTGAATGATCAAATAAATAACCGTCAATCTGCATCTCCAAGATAACAGGAACTGTTCTAGTTGACCTTCTTATACGCTGTCTTCGAAATCGAGAAACCTATACGGGCTATGAAGATGCCTTTAGGAGATCAATCGCCGCAACAAGATGATTACTCGACCGTGAGTTCAGACGACACAGTTCAGTTCACCGACATAGGCTCTGATGTCGATAATCGTGGCCCGAGCGAACGCATCCTTATTCAGCCTCCGGTGACAATCAATGTGTTTGGTGCTGGCGCAGTAACTACGGGGGGATCTGACACGGGGCATACTGCTGCTACTACTACCACCAGTAGTACTGGCACATCCGGTAGCAGTGATGCCGTCGTTTCGCGCCTGGAGAGCCAAATCGCAGCTCTATCAGACAAAGTCGAGCAGCTTGCTTCACAGGTCAAGTCAGCCCAGCAGCCACAGCCTAGACTTCAGGTTGACAACGGGATGTGGCGGCGTATGAAGGGGGCTCCACCAACACAGCGTATCGCCTTTTCGAAGAGATTTGAGTCGGCGCCAAGGGTCATTGTGGGCATATGCAAAGCGGATATAGATTGTCACAGGAACTTCAGACTCAGTGTGTATGCATCGGGCATCGATCCGGAAGGATTCACTGTTAATGCCAACTATTGGGCTGATACGAACCTATTCGAATGTGGGGTCTCATGGGTAGCTATAGGAAACGGGAAGGGATAAGTCACACAGGTTACATGTTAAACATCGAGAACTTGGACTTTAAACAGTATATAACCCAGGACAGGGGTTAGCAGTAAATGGGAGAGGCATGATACTAGTACATTGTCGGAATGGATGGACTCTTTATGTAGAGATACAACGCTATACAGACTGAAGTGGTCACTTTACTTTTGCCATAGCGGTCTATTTCAACATACCTATGTATATAAGTTGAATATCGTCCGTAAACCTCCACATACGACCATAGGTAGTGGAAAATTCGGGGTCTCGTCTGCTCCCCCAGAGACAAGCCACTAACCGGCAGATTAGTAGTTGAGTGGGAGACCATCAGCGAACACCGGCTGTTGTATGTTTTTTTGCCCTGTTTTTATACATCTCGACATGCTCCAACATGCCGATCGATACGTGAGTTAGCTAGCCTTTCTTTCATTGTCTGGCAAACAATTTTCATCACGTATATCATCCAACAAGACTCGCTCAAACTTAATCAACTTGAAATGTATTTTTCCTTCTCCAAAGCACCAATTGCTACCCATCCGCATCTACCGTCTACTTATACCAAAGGATGCCAATGCCATCTATATCGTACCTAAAGGGAATGTTTTCGCTGCCTCTTCTCCGTAATGTGCAAAATCACTATCCTTACAGAGACCCCCCTGCCGTTGTTTTTGTAGGACTCTTGCTCCTGGCCTTCATAGCCCCCTTGCCAACAATCTTCTCCGTCCAGTTCCATGATGAAGGACTCAGTCTCCCGCCCTGGCTTTCCTTTGTTTTGTCCAATTTCTTGTCGCCCACTGCATCATTATCGAATTCACTCTCATTCTCACTGCTCGCCCAATCGCGCTCACTCCACGACATTGAATCCCCCCTATCACCCTGATGGCTGTGATTCGTTAGGGAAGTCCGATCGGTATCTTGTGTCCTTGGCAGGGGAGGCACTTCGTCGAGAGCCTCACGGGCCTCGCTCGCATTTGTCGGCTCCGGAGCAAGGCCGCGGGCTTGCCGCATAGACACCGTTTTAGTCTCGCGACCATCCGCGCCAGGGGGTTGACTAATGTCCAAAGCCCGCTCGCCCATGTGCTCGTCCTCAGTGCGTAATCGCGAAACAGCTGAGTCGCTGAAGTGAGCATCAACCAAGTGTTTGACGACCGGCCAACCGTAAGCGTTGGCAAACATGCGGCGTACGAATATGTTGTTGTGGGCGTCTGGTTCCAGCTTCACAAGCACCTTGCGCCACGATAAATCCTTGTGGTATCCGCGCGAAATCTTTTCCTCAACACGCATGCTCGAGCCATCAACAACCTCGTTAGGCTGCTTTTCAGGACCCGTATGTGCAGTGTCGTCGTAGTCTTTTGTCGAGGCCATTGAATCTTCGTGGTTGATTCCTGAGTGAGGCGTCGACGAACCGCTGCCCCCGGGCGAGAGCAGCGACGAAGACGAGGATTTGAGCTTCATTTTACTAAGCGCAGAAGGAGTTCGCTTCTTCAAGGGTGGCGCGGGGATGTCCGTTGGATGATACACTCGGTCATGAAAGATTGTTCGTGGCCGCTTCGACGGATCAACGAGCCACTCCACATCCGGAATCTTGGGATTGAGCAGGTCTCCAGCAGATTCAAAGAACGTGGTCCTAGGCGGTGCCGTCAGGCCTTCTATATCGTTCTCAAACTCGTGCCCTGCAGTTGCCTTGCCGGATTGTTTGCCCGTCATTGACGAATTGGAGCTGTCGGCAGTGCTAGAAGCATCTCCACCATTCTTAAGTGTCTGGCTTCTGCGCAGTATCTTCTTCTGCTTCTCCGTCACAGGTTGCTCTTTTGGAGGGTCGTTGCTCCTAAATAAATTGAAAAATCCGGTGAGCGGAGTGTGAAGCAGGTTATCTCCCGGGCTTTCCAGTGGCTCATCTGCAAATACCGCTGGAACAGAGCGTAGGCTCGCCCGATCGTCTTCGGCGAGAGCATCGTTGGATGGCTGCGGCACTTGATGGCTGTTGCTGTTTTCGCCATTGTTGGTGCTGCCATCACCATTGGGGGTCGTAGCACCCGAGTCGGTCTCAATGTCGTCGGGAGGAAGCTGCAGCTTCTGCCGCGATGATCCCATGTTAGCACCTGTGAGCTCGGCCCATCCAAAGCCTACAACGGTCTCGACGAGACCGGCTTCTCTCCTTGCTTTGCCAACTCGCCCTAGACCCTGCCAGTCCAAGAATAACAGGCAGCTTGTGCGCAGCGGAACGATGCCATCATTGACCACATTGGAGTAGACTGTTCGGTTCCGAAATTTCTTGAGGGCAATGTGAGCGGGCCCTGAGGGTAAGATTCGTAATAGAGGCTTGGACTCGGGCTGTGATTCGCCGTAGACTTTCTTGTGAGCAGATTCGCCTAGGTTACTCACAATGGCACCCCAGCCACTTCGTGCAATCGTCGGTGCTCTCCACGTCAGGCCTAAGTCCTGCCCTGTCCTCCCCACGAGACCAAAATCAAGTGCAAACTTGACGTAGAGAGGGTTTTCGTTGCTCAGGCCTAAGAAGGGCGTGGCCAGTGCGATGAAATTGATAGGTCTTATCAGGTCGAAGAATCGTGGTGAATGCTTTTGTATATATGCAATAGCGTAGGTCTGAACAAGGCCGCCCAGTGAGTGCGCAATGAAGCTGATGCTCGTGACCTTGTAAGGTCTCCGAATTAATTGGTGGTCGTCCGCTCCCTCCGAGTCCGGTGCCTTGACGATGGTGCTGTGTTTGTGAGCTTGCATAAGGTCGTGCGCCCCCTGATCGCTTAGCCCGTGGGCAAACCCTTCAAAGGCGCCTTTTCCTCCTATCGGTAAGAATGGCTGGTCTGGGTAGGTCATAGAGAGAACATATCTCGCTAGCCTTTTGCCAAGATACTTGATTCCCTTCTCCGTTTTGGTGGCGTTTCCAGAATATCCTCGCACAATGACCTCTTCGTCTTCATCCTCGTCATCCTCTTCGCTTCCTGCCGAAGAAGCACCGTCTTTTGCCTTGCTGGCGTCGTCGGCATTAGCTTCGGCCTCTGCACGCTGCTTTGCTCTTCTCGCCTTGGCATCAATCTTGGCCTGCTTTGCAGCAGCGTCGATGCTCTCTTTCATGAACAACATATCGGCGCCCAAGTTACTATGCAGTCCATGCGTTAGAATGACAAGGTGAATCTTCTTTTGCTTCCGTGGAAGCGGCTCGTCTTCGGTTTCCGCATCACCGGTCTTAACCATGCTCTCCACTGGTTCGTCGGCAGTAGGCCGGTCCTCAACCCTCTTATCACCGGCATCATCCCACACCGGTAACCGGGGCGTGTTCCACAAAGTCGCCGTGTCTTCTACCTTGACATGGACCGCTCTTGAAAAGACTCCGCGAGGCTGTCCCGGATGATGCCCGTCCTTGGCTCCAATGCTCTGCTGGTGGTCCACTAGCTTTCCCGGCTGCGGTACCTGGGCCTGGCCGCCTACCACCGGGACCGAAGAGCTCAAGCTCAGTGACTTTTGTTCTCTCGCTACCAACAGCTCGTATCCTACCGCCGCCGATGTAGAGAAGATGACCTGTGACGAGATCTCAATGATCCAGCTCACGCTCTCGGAATCGTGCTCCGGGCCGTTGCCAAACGTGCCATGGCTTCCCGTCCCCGCCGCCTGCCGTATGTCTTCCGGCACGACAAGCTGACACTCCCACGAACCTCCGGC